GAAAAGAAGAAATAGAGGAAAAGTAATGAAAAATAAAAGCTCTGCCACTTTTTTTTTTTTTAAAAAACTTTGGTAAAAAAGGGAATAGTTTCTTTTTTCGCTCAAACTCAATCAATATACATTGAACAAATTGACCAATTTTCTTCTGCTCCTCCGCTATGGTTCTTCTTAATTTGGATAACAGGAATTTTTTCAGGCACATACAAAGATATAAAATCTCTAGTACCTCCTTTACCAAAGAATTTGTGGAGTACTTGTGACACTTTTTATTCCTATTCTATGATATATGATAATTGCATAATTTAAAGATGATTATCAATGGCACTCCATCTTTTGATATGATAATTGCGGGATACAATAATATGTGTGGTATACTTGTGTTTGGATTGTATTTTTCATGATTTTTCATGGAAAAATTACTGTAGCGATTTGATATATGTGAGAGAAAAAGATAATAGGGAAATGTGATTACGGAAAACGACATAATTTTTTGACAGAAAACAGCAATCCAAACAAGGTACACGTACTAAGCTATAATTGTCTAAAAACTACTCATCACTGGACCTTTTGAAATGTATTTTCGCAGCATTGGATGGTCAAGAATCTAATTTACCACGCACTTGCAATATCTTTTGTACTTTGTTTATATTTGATCAAACCCTCGAGGTAGATTAATGCAACAATATCATGTGAGTTTAAACTCAAAGCCAGTGTTAATAAAAATGTTGAAAAGGCAATTAAAGAATTTGAAGATACCATTACTACTAGCATAATCAGTAACAGTGGTGGAGCCACGTGTTCCCCATAAACTTTAATAAAATTATTTTTTGGGTTTAGAAAGTTTAAAACTATTTCCAATTTATCCCTCTTAAAATCTTTAAAATTCTCTTTTCTAAGTGCATTGTCCCCAAAATCTATAAAATTCTCTTTTCTTGTGCATTTTCTCCTCCCCGGCCTCGAATAATTAAAAACTCATAATTACTATCCTTTACAAGAGTGTTAAAAATATGGATATTAATCCAAGTATAAATTCTGTCCATGTTTCTAAACACAAATTAGTAGAGTGATTTTTATTGTTAAATTTGAGTATAATTTTAACGTAAAAACATATTTTACATTCGAAAAAAAATATGTTTATTGTATAAACTTTCATTTAATTTAATTCATTATTACTGCATTCTATACGTTGTCGGAGATTGACACTGACCTTAGCGTTTTACCTCCGCTGCTGACTAGTATGGTTTTAGGACGTGCCCCAACTAGGGGTGCAAACGAATCGAGCCGCTCGCGTTCGAGCTCGAGTTGGTCGAGTCAAAATTGAGCTCGAGTTCGAGCTCAAAACATTAAGCTTGTCGCGAGCTCGAATATATATATATATATATATTTTATTTTTATTTTAATAGTAAAATTACATAAATATCCTTAATATTTTATTATTTATTAAGAAAAAAATATTATTTTATTTATTTTTTTAAAAAATAAAATAATTATTTTTATTTTTTTCGAGCTCGAGCTCGAGCTTAAAAATTGCCAGCTCATCGAGGTCGATAAAATTAAGTCAAGACTCGACTCGATAAGGCCAAAACTTGGCTCGGCTCAACTCCGCTCGTTTGCGGCCCTAGCCCAAACAACACAAAGGCCAATCTATCACAAAGATACGTAGCCATCTGCTCCAACCGTCCAAGCTTCTTGTGTATATATCATCATCATCATCATCCCCATCCCCACAATTATGTTCAACAACCAAACCCCCTTTGCATGCAATATTTTCTTACCCTGCATCTTGTCTCCAATTAATGGCTGCCTTCTCTTCTCTAACTTCCTTATTTCTCCTTATCTTCTTCCTCTTTTGCCTCCATGCATGCATGATTGCTGCCTCATCCGATGACAGTCATGAAACCTACATCGTCCACGTCTCCAAGTCTCAAAGGCCATCCCTTTTCACCACCCACCACGACTGGTACTCCTCCATGCTCAGCTCCCTCTCTCCTCTCTCCACCGATCGTCAACAGCCCACAACTAAACTCCTGTATACCTACGAACACGCTATCCATGGCTTTGCTGCCCGCCTTAACATCTCCCAGGCCGCAGAGCTCCGCCGTCACCATGGCATTCTATCTGTCGTCCCAGACAGCATCCGCCAGCTTCAAACTACCCGCACCCCCTACTTCATGGGCCTCGCTGACTCCTTTGGCCTCTGGCCAGTCTCCAATTACGCCAAGGACGTCGTCATCGGTGTCCTCGACACTGGCATTTGGCCTGATCATCCGAGCTTCTCTGACGAAAACCTTCCTCCTGTTCCTTCATACTGGAAAGGAGAATGTGAAACGACTTCGGACTTTCCCTCAGCTTCGTGTAACAAAAAGCTTATTGGCGCCAGAGCTTATTACAGAGGATATGAGGAACAAATGAAAAAGTCCATAGAACAAATGGGAGAATCGAAGTCGCCTTGGGACTTCAAAGGTCATGGAACGCATACTGCTTCTACGGCAGCTGGTTCGGCCGTTAAAAATGCTGGCTTCTATGAATATGCTAAAGGGGAAGCGAGAGGAATGGCGATTAAAGGCAGGATTGCCGCCTACAAAGTCTGTTGGAGAGGTGGATGCTTTGACTCCGATATATTAGCAGGCATCAATCAAGCCATTTCCGATGGAGTTCACGTGATTTCACTCTCAGTGGGTGGCAAACAAGCTAGGGAGTACGACCTTGATCCCATTGCAATCGGTGCATTTGGCGCTATGGAGCAAGGGATTGTGACTTCTTGCTCAGCGGGAAATTCTGGCCCGCTTCCCTACACTGCCGACAATATTGCACCCTGGATTCTTACTGTCGGTGCATCCACCATCGACCGGGAGTTTCCAGCTGACGTTGTTATCGGAGATGGAAGAATTTTCAGTGGCGTGTCGCTGTACTCCGGCCTCCCTCTGTCGGATGCTCAGATTCCACTTGTTTACGCCGCAAATTGCGGAAGCAACTTCTGTTTCCAAGGAAAACTCGATCCTTCCAAGGTCAAGGGAAAGATTGTGGTATGTGACCGTGGAGGTAATATTACCGGAGCTGCCAAAGGATGGGCAGTCAAACACGACGGTGGTGTTGGCATGATACATGCAGACACTGAGGAATATGCCATTTCCGGGGAAGACCTCAGGGCGGAAGCCCACCTAATTCCAGCTACGATGGTGGGGATAACAGCCGGCGACAAAATTAAGAGCTACCTCAAGTCTCATCCCTCCTCTGCGACAGCTACAATTATCTTTAGAGGAACGGTGACTGGGAACTCAATATCAGCGCCACGGGTGGCGGCATTCTCGAGCCGTGGTCCAAATCCTATTACACCGGAGATCTTAAAACCGGATGTTATCGCTCCCGGCGTGAATATCTTAGCCGGTTGGACCAGGCTGGCCGGACCATCCAGTTTGGAAAACATTGATAAGAGAAGAGTGAATTTCAACATTATGTCCGGTACGTCCATGGCTTGTCCTCATGTAAGTGGATTAGCAGCTTTGCTTCACAAAGCCTTTCCTGATTGGACTCCGGCAGCTATAAAATCAGCTCTTATGACGACTGCTTATAACGTTGACAACAGGGGCAACAATATTATGGACATTTCCACTGGCAAAGAATCCATCCCATTTGGACATGGGTCAGGTCACGTCGATCCTAACAAGGCGCTTAATCCAGGCTTGGTATACGATATGGGAACTAGTGATTACGTGGGGTTCTTGTGTACGATTGGGTATAGTCCAACTAAAATAGCAGTGTTTGTCAAGGATAGATCGGTTCCCGTGGACTGCAATGCACAGAAATTGGAGAGTGTTGGAGACTTGAATTATCCTTCTTTTTCTGTGGTTTTTAGTCGTAGTAAAAAGGTGGCTAAGCATAAAAGGGTGGTCAAGAATGTGGGGAGCAAATCAGATGTTGTGTATGATGCGAAAGTAAATGCTCCTCAATTTGTGGAGGTGAGGGTGTCACCGAGTAAGCTGATATTCTGCAAAGGAAAGGATGCCTTGTCCTATGAGGTCTTGTTCACAAGGGCTGCATTGGAGGAAATTGGTGACATTGAGTCTGGATTTGGGTCACTGGAGTGGAGTGATGGGGAGCACCTTGTGAGAAGCCCTATTGCAGTGAGGTTTCAGGGGAAATAATAAAACACCCGGTTGGACAGTGGCATGCATAGCCAATATAATTTGCTTGAATGGTTATAGATCTTAATCAATATGCAAGTACGTTAATCAATAAGTGGAAAGCACTATTTTATTATAATGATAAACTGGTTTAGTTTGCTTTTTAACTATTAAAAATTAGCTAATGTAGCTGCTAACTAAATTGAGTTATTATTAATGATTTTCACGTCATTGGTCTGAGCAAAGAATATCAATGACGAAGAAAATTTAATGACTTAGAAAATTTCTAAAGCTTCAAGAAATTAACTCTTTTGTACCGTGATATTAAATAGAATTTAAGGGGGGAAAAAAAGCAATTTGAGCTCAATAATATCTGGTAATCTTTGCACAAATAAAAAATCAATACTTTATCCAAATAAGCCAAATATGTTCCAAATTTTTTCCAAAGCACTAGTACTTGTTGAAGCATAAAATGCAAAAGGTATAGTATATTGCATGTTCCCCCAATTTGGGTAGGGAAAATATTCGGGAGGCAAGTTTTTTCGCCCTCCATTCTTCATGGCCAAGTTAGGCCCAGGTTTAGGTTAGTATTGTTACCCTTTTGACACAAAAAAAAAAGGGCAAAATTGTTCTTCTAAAGTAACAGGAATTAGTTTACTTCTAGATTTGGTAGGCATTAGGCAATACAATATCGGGTCTTGTACAGCCCTCCAATCAGTCATAAATCATAATGGCTGTTACCCCAAATAAGTCATAGTGACAAAATTTAGCAAAAGTAATCAGGAGAAGAAAAAAAAAAGAAAGAGGAATACATATTCATAGCTAGGTAACCATAACAAGTTTGGGAGAAGTTTGAATTAAGTGGTAAGGTAGAAGGGATAGTAAATGGAAGATTCTTTGTTTAAGATCTCTCACTTAAAAAAAAAATTTCATTGGCACAATTATGAAACCGAAAAAAGCTAATATCACACAGCACAAAACAAAAACTACAAAGCCGACACAAACATAAACCAACAAGGTACATATATCCATGGCAAAGTGATCAAATCATTCAGGTCATTCGCCAACTTATGGTGTAGGATTGAAGTTGAATTGATCACAGGTATTGTAATCAGCCTTTAGGGTCACCCTAAATCCCAACTGGGAACTAGCCAGATCAAACTCAAATATGTGATCCTCCAACTGATATGCACCCAAGACAATTGGAGCTCTGGGCTTATATCCTCCATCAACGAATGCTAAGCACCAAATTCCAGGCCTTGCTTTGACTATGGAATTTGAACCGAATATACTCCAGGCAGTGTCACGATTTTCCATCACAAAGTCGATGATGGGAGCAGCTATATCGACTTTTGGAACCGGAGGAGGCAATTTATTGAAACATACTCCAAAAGGTGATACTGGATCCACCTGAGATGCACCAATGGCAGTGAATTCATTCGTGAAGAACTGAGTGAAGTTTTCGAAAATTGAGTGCTCAAGAACGGTGTACGGATCTGTTGTGCCGATCACTGTTCCACCAAAGCTTCTAGTTCTTGAAAGCAAAGGTCTGTTGAATTGGACAGGCTTGTGATTTATCCTGATTGATTTCACTAGTATCTGGTACTCTCCTTGTGATCCAATAGTTAATGGGGTATATTGCATACCTTGAGAGATGTCCTTGTCTCCAATTCTATAAGATGCGTTCCCCAAAAAGATGACTCCATTTTGGTTGGTTTTTGAAGATAAACACAAGGCAAATTTCTGCGGGAATCCAAAGTGAGACGCTAGTTGCCTTGGTAAAGAAACTTGATTGTGGCCAAATCCAACTATTCCTTGTACATTTTGCGGTAATGGCCCTTGTAGAAAAGATGATGGCGTGCATGCAAAGAGGAAGTAGCGGACAACAGCCAGAGGGCCTGGATTTGAGGCCTCAATAGTCTTAATTGCTAGTGTATCTTGTGCAAGTTCACTAACTACATTTGTGTTGGTGAGAGGGTTTGTTGCCAAGACTGCACAAGTGTTGTTATGGCAACCAGGCTTAGCCTGGGATAAACATGTGTGGCAGAAATGATTTTCAACTTGTGAACACTGAGTTGAATGGCAAATTGGAGCATTATAGGTGGATGACAGGTAATCTTGCTCACAATTAACTGATAAGAACTTGCCATTCAGGTCTACAAGTAGTGGGATTGATTTGAGGGGTGTTCTTTTGTAGATATCGACAACAAGGAGGCTTGTGGCGTTATCTTTCAGCACTGGGAGGTAAAGGGCGTTCGGGTTGAAGGGAGCTTGAGCAGCTCCAGGTGCTGATGCAAACAGAAGGGAAACGAGAGTCGAGAAAGCGAGAATAAAATTGAAGCGGGAAGCCATAAGAGGAATCAGAGAAGATTAGCAGAATCAGTGTTTCTGAGATGTGGTTTTTGGGTAGTACAAGGAAAATGGCTTGATCTATATGTATAGCTATAAAGTTTGTAACGGGTAAGAATGGGGGAAGATAACTTCAAGAAGGGGTGGGAATGGAGACAATCTTGATGATTTCTGTTTCTCGTGTAAGTATCTGAGTTTGATGACTTAATCAGTGGATGAGTTTTCTCTTTCTTTCTATTTGGTAGGTTGTCTTTAAACCAAACTTAGAGCAAACAAGGGTAAAGACAGCGGTGTGATGATGGCAATGGAGGTAGAAGCAGCTAAGGAGTGCTTGATGAGGCAGCATCTGGCAAAGAGGGGATAAAACTTCACTAGCTAGTACTGCCACCAGGTTCTTCCAGACTGGATTCCAGCTTTGTCAAAGGAAGGTGAGAAGTGCATACCCGTTAAAGTGAGAATTCTCTTGTCAGTTTAATTTTCTCAATGCAATTGCAATAGTCTAGAATAGTTCCATCACCAGTTACATTTTTTCTTTCCGAGGAATGTTTTATCTGAAATTATTAGAAAAAAAAAAACAAGTTTAACTTGCATTTGTATAATTTCAAATGCAATGAATTGGGATGTCAAGATCAAGAACACTATCTCTCAGAAATCGACAAGTTGTTGGACACTAAGTTCAAGAGGTCAATGGAACAAAGAGAACAATAATATAATCCAATATGTACTAATTAGTAGTAAAACACAAGTAAAGACATTGAATGAGAGTTAATTCGGTCCGTTGAGCTAATTCTGCAAGAAAATAATCACAATCAATTTGAGCATGGTGATAAAATATATAATTTTCAATTGATTCCATTTATGAAAATTTAAAAACATATCAATGTTGCATGTAATTAATGCTACATACATACTATGTATGTTAGCATGGATTAAGTTATAATGTGAATCAATTTTGAAAGGTAGAGTAAAAAAAATTCTTTCTTGAAATTACATTTTGCAGTTGGCAATAAAACGTTGCACCCGTTTGCATGTGTGTACAAGACGGCGATAAAGTTCAGCACGCAAAAAAAAAAAAAAGATTTTCTTTCGCATCAAGGAGCACATAATTTATCTCCAAATACTTCAAAATAATTACATTCAACAGAATAAAACATCAATCTCAGTTCCCATTTTACAAATGGTACGAATGCAAGGTGAAATTGAAGTTAGCACAGGTAATATGACGCAAAAGTAGCGAAGATGCAAACCCTAATCTAGTTCTTTGCAAGACCAAATTGAAGAAGATTATTTTCCAGTTGATGTGTAGCTATGACAATTGAAGCCGTGGGGTTAGTTCCTCCATCAACAAAGGCTAAACACGAGACATTTTGTTCTACTTGTACCGTGGAATTTTCGCCAATAATTGTCCTGCTAAACTTTTGATTTTGCAGCATGAAATCAATTCTAGGAACTTCAGGGCCAGTTCTGGTACTTGCTAAGTAGTTGAAATTGAAGCATACCTCAAATTGTAAAACTGGTTTCACCTGAGGAACTCCTATGAGTTGATTCATGAACAATTTCGCAAAAGATCTGAATAATGAGTGCTCCAAATCTGTGTATGGAATTGTTGCACTAATTATTGTTCCTAGAAAAGCCCTGGATCCTGAAATTGAAGCTGATTTGAGCAGAACTGGCTTTAAAAAAAAAAAAAAATCTTGATCAATCTAACCAGGATAATGTATTTGCCCTCCTGAAAACCAATTGTTAAAGGCGGATAGCCCATTCATCGCGAAATATCAATTCCAGGGCGCATAATATAAGGGCCTTGTCCTATGAAAATGACTCCATTGCTCTTGGAGGAAGAGGACAGGCACAAGGCAAATATAGGTGAAGTATGGCCAAATCCAGCTACTCCTTGAACATTTTCCGGCAATGGTCTTTAAAGTAAAGATGAAGGTGCACAGGCTAATTACCCAAAAAAAGAATGTGCACAGGCAAAAAGCAAATAAGGAACTCTCACGCATGGACTTGATTTTGGACCTTGAGATCTGTAAATGGAAAGAACATCTTGTGCAAGCTCTCCAATGGCGTTTCGACGAGTCAGTGGGTTGTTGGTTAAAAGAAAGCATGTACTGTTATGACACCCAGTCCTAGAAGAATTGGAGGGACATTTGTGGCAGTAGTGAACTCCGGCCCTTGAACATTGAGTGGAGTTGCAAGAGGGAGCTATATAGGTTGATGATGAGTAGTTTTGCTCACAATTCACCCATAAAAATCTTGAATTGAGATCAAGAAGAAATGGAATAGATATCCGAGGAGCCCTCTTGAGTATGTGGGCAACATGAAGGAAACTAGTAGAATCTTTGCACATTGGCAAAACGAGTGCGCTAGTCTTGAAAAGGGTTCGAGTTGCTTGAGTTTTGGACATGAATATTAGAGAAGTGAACCAAGAAGGAGTTGAGAGATTTAAAGTCGTAATTGAAGCCAGTAGAGGAATGAGAAATTGAAACTTATATCCAATAAGTGTTAGAATCATTTTATATAATAGCTAGTGAAAGCAGTATTATATTTTAGAGTACAAGCACTAGATCAATGATGATACATAGGGGTGGGGCTGGGGGTGGCGGTGGGGGCTCGGGTATAGGGGTTTACACTTTTACATAGCGCACAATTTGAAGTAGGAAAATTTGCTACAGGCTTTGTTGGCTTTGTTGGGCCAAATAATTTTCTACCGCTAACAGTTTTATCAACCTTGATTGGACTAATGCAAACAATTCCGATCCCAACGCATGCGAGTCACAATGGTTTGTAAAGGTAGTGACCCAAGCCAGAGTGTGAGAGTCGGACACGGCCCGAACAGTTGTCAGGAAAATCGTTCAGGCCAATTTTGTGCAAAATACACAAAAAAATAACTTTATATGCACACGGTGTAACTCACTTTCAACAATATGTAACTATAGAACAAAATTTTGTGAGCTCCACACATGATGTGAAAAACGATGTACAAGATACAATCTAAACCTTACTTTTTTTTTTGTGGTTAAATCGTGGCCATGAACCTCAGGAACAGTTGCTTCCAGCAACCAACCGTTCCTGCCTCTCCTCTGTGTGAGAGTGATACTAACACTATATCCAAGGTGTAAAGTCAAGTCAAATGGCTGAAAATCAAAATTGAACCCAATGGAATCCCACCCAACAGTTTGGGCTGTAATAGAAGGAGGCAGAGCCAACATTTATGACTTGACTTGAAGGACTTGGGCTTTATTTTACGTGAGTTTGGGTGAAACCCAATGGAATCCTCTGTGTTGTCGAAACTCAAATTTTAATGTCATAGCAATTTTTTGTTTGTAAAATATCGAAAATATTCAAATCAAATGAGATATCATCGCCAAATTGACTTAAGAGGTGTAGCCTTGTTATTTTTGCTCTAGCAATCCCTATTTTTCCTCCCCATTGTACTAACAAAAGCAAGTGGGAGTGGATTAATCTTCTTCCTTCAAATATACCCCTTTACTCATGAAATGAAAGGTAATTTTTCTGCATGTGGCGCCTTGAAAAATTTTGAGTCAAATTTTCGTCCTCAAGTAAGAGTCGAACTCTGCAGACGCTCCCCGAATCGAATCCAAATTAGCCTTTTGCTGAAGGTGGAGATATCGAGTGCTAAAAGCCAAAAACAAAAAGTAAGGGATTGAAGGGATTTCCCCGTATAGGTAGATCCAATAAGTTTTGAATTTGAACAGCCAATGTATTTTAAAAAAAAAATTTTGTTCTGTCAAATCTTGGTATAGGCAGCTAGAGTTGAAAGCCCGGAACCATAATGAAGACAATAATAATGGGTTTGTTTGGATTGTGAATTATTTGAAATATTTTTACTGTAGCACTTTTTTGTGATGTGATGTATGTGAGATAAAAAGGTAATTGAGAAGATAAAAAGGTGCGTTGAAAATTGTAATGATGATGTAAGCAGATATAATTTGGTAAATAATTCACAATCCAAAGTGATGAACAGATTCATTGTAGCTGAGGGAATAGATATTTTTAACTCATGAAGGCGGTTTCATGGAAGCCTCATATTGATATTACAGAAAAATCCTTCTGTCTGAAGTAACAGAAGCAATGATGCATTTCCATCATAAAACCAAAAAACAGAATAGAAAAGCTGGCACATGGAGCTGTGAGGAATTAATCTTGTCTCCCAAGTGATTCTCTCCACCGCCTTTCATGGAGTCTGTGTCCCTTTTTACCTTGAGCGTTTAGAAAATAGCAATCCAACAGGAGCATAGATTTGAATTCTGCCCTAAGGAAGAATTATGAGGATAAAAATTTTCTTCAACAAATATCCTCTAAGAATTAGGTAACAGTCAAAAATCTTGAAAGGCTGATAAGAAAGGACACTGTGCAGTAAAAAGCACCCCCCCGTCATACCCCACACAACCAAAAAGAATAGAGTAAAGGGCATACCTGGGGCTAGAGCTTAGAAATTAGAATGGCTCCCCTACCTTTTCCCGTTTCTAGCTTTTGAATTTAGCTCTTTGAAAAAAAAAATCTGTCATCCCTCTAGGCGTCAGTACTCAAATCCTTCCATAATTTTTCACCAAAGAATGAAAGAATGCTACAATGTTAAGCTTGATTACGTACTGATCTAATTGTATTCTGAGCATGTTACTGAAACCTACCATTCACAGTACACGAAGTATAGACAGGCAACTCAAGAGAAAAGGCAGAACAACAACAGAGAAGAAAGAAATGATAAACTAACCACTTCTGAGTAGTAGCATTGGATTGTTGCAACTTGCGACTCTCTAACTTACAAACCAAAACATAGCACAAACTCATATCCTATGCTAAGTAGTAAACCAGAACAAAACAGAAGCAATTCCAATTTACATGATACTACAACTGTCAGTATTTTCATCACTGAAGATGTGAGTATAATGATCTGTGGCCTGAGGCGCCATCATCGGTGGTCCATAGTGCATGGGGGCCGGGGGGCGGGCATACATCATAGGGTGGTACATGCCATGACCACCATTAGCTTGCTGTTGATTCATCATCATTTGAGCCATGTATTGCTGGTTCATATAAGGGTTCCCCTGTCCCATACCTTGATAATACCCACCGTTCATCCCTGCACCGGCCGGTAGTCCCTGCACCGCCGGCATATTTCCGGCAGGACCCATTGGATAGCCGCCCATTTGGGGCATTTGACCCATATTCCTCGGAACTGGTCCTCTGTGGTTCATATCCATGCCATGAAATCCCTGGGGTAAATTGTTCATCATCATGCCCCCACTCATCTTCCCTCCCCCATTCTTACCCCAACTCTCATTAATCTTTCCTCCACCGTTGCTATTATGCTGACCTTTACCATTTACCGCACCATTCTTACCCTCCCCTGGCATGCCCCCACCATTTTTACCGCCATTTTTACCACCTTGACCACCCTGATTTTGATTGCCTCCCTTACCATGCTTACCTCCATTGCCATTCTTACCGTCATTATTACCTCCCATACCTTTAATTTGCACAGATATATCAGCCCCACCACCTTTCTTGGCATTCCCACCATTGAAAACACCTTTCAAAAAACCATTCATTATACCATTAGACCCCTTGTTAGGTCCATGACCACCGCCACCGCCACCCATAATAGGTATAGTTTTTGCAGATGGATGCTTATGATGACCACCATCAAAACCATCATCAAATTCATCATCTAACTCATCATCATAATCATCATCAAACTCGTCAAGATCATCATCGTCGAATTCATCATCTTCATCAGGCAAGCTAAACTTGACAGATTTCTGATCCTTGGGAGGAAATTTCAGATCCTTTGGCCCTTTAAGATTCTGCATCTGCTGCAGCTGATGAGCTTGTTGGCCACCCTTTTGAGATTTGTTATCTTTCCCACCTTTAAAGTTATCAATTTGCATATTCTTGAACTGGTTGTTCAAGTTGAATGCACCACCCCCGCCTTTCTGTGCTCCCCACAATTCTGCGTGCTTTCCAGCCTTGTCAAGCTTCTTTATCAGTGTAGCTGGATCAACATTCCCCGTCACAGTAACTCTTTGTTGGTCTACATCTATTTTAACAGTATAAACTCCTGCAAAATCATATTTACCAAAGAGTCAGCAGTGAGTCCACAGGGGTCATACGCACTTGAACAGAGTTGCCCAAGATTTACCTATTCTGAGCAACTATTTAAAGATTCTATTGCCAATTACTAACTAAAGAGTGACTTACCATCAATTTTCAGCAATTTCCTTCTGACCTTGTCCTTGCAACCATCACAATCGATGTTCACTCTGAGAACACAACTCTGCACGAAATTTGTGGAAAGGAAATTGAAGATGAGAAAGAAGTGCAAAATCTTTGTACATTCCGAGAGAAAATATCCTCATCAGGTCTCAAACTACAGATTTATTGGCTCTTTTTTTCTAAAAATCATCACTTTGAGGGAAAAAATAGTCTTGATTAGCTTTTACAACTCCAGAATCCTTCCAAGTTGAAATCTTTGCAGTAAATTTCTCATTTTTTCTGTCAAAAAAATTGAAAGAAACAACAAATATTGCTCCAGATAACTTCATGTAACAAGAATAGCCAATTACCATATCTTAAAATGGAAGAGTAGTACTACAAACTTAGTCATGCACAATAAAGCAAAAACAAGAACCTAAATCTAATATAAGAGAAAGCCCATGGGAAGAAGTAACACAATACCTGAGTCTTCAAGAAGTCCTGTTTACTCATTCTGCTATTTTGTTACAGAACGAGATGCAAGGAGCCCTAAAATATAGACTAATTGCTGACAAGAAAATGAGAACTTCCAACCAAAAAACAAGTCCTTTTGGACGAAAGAAGCTAAATGAGATGAACCCCTCTTGAGGAAACTTAGCAGAGAACAAGAAAATGCAATGCTCAAATTCAGGAAAGGAAAAGAGAGAAAGAAGGGTCCGTTGGGAGCATATAATTTTTGCCAGAATAAAACACTATTTAAGCTCTTTTCTGTATTTCTGGCTTTGCTACCTAGTTATATGGGGTTTCGTGCTGTTTTATAATTTGGAATTAGCATAGGAAAGCAAAGTGAAGCGAGTGTAGTCACAGTGCAAACCATGAGCTGTCTCAAACAATAAAGGGAGCACGATATGGCGGATTCGATATCAATAGCAGCTCCAGAAGATAGCTTTCTTATGGTACAACCGGTATCAGTACTGCTTGTGCTTGTGGGAACCCAAGACCAGATATGACCATGTGACAGCTTGAATCATTTGGCAGTAGATTTTAAAGTTATTTTGTTTACCAGGAAAGTTCTGCCATCTATAATATGGTCGGAGGACAAAAAATAATCGCTGACAAAAAATATATATA